TTTTAAACCTCAGGTTGTTTGAACCTACGCTGCAGAACCCACAGGCCCTGTTTAAAACGCAGCCGTCAGGGCAGGCAAACCCCACGGCTGTCCTTGTTGGTCCTGGGCCACCCCGGGCTGATTGCTAAGAGGCCCACAGATGTCATCACAGTCGACACAGCCCTGGGGTGGGCCCACCGCACAAACGGGGACACTGAGGCACCACAAAGCTAAGTAGCTTGACCATGGCCACTGCAGCAAGACCTGAACCCAAGCTGCCCAACCCTGAGCCAAAGCTCTCGAAAGGCACCAGGAGAAGGAGAAACACTTGTTGAAAGGCAGTAAGGACTATTCTTGGAAGCTTGTTGTCTGCTGCTTATCTCCAAATCTCCTCCTGAAGATTTCCAATTTTGAGAAAAGTCCGTAGGAACCTATGAGAGGCTTCACACCCATCCTCGTCTAGGAAGCCTGCCCCAGCGCCCCCACGCCTTGCTCAGGATGGCTCTGCCCCACAGCCCTGCCCAGAGCGGGAGAGGGCCTCTTGGGTCTGCAACTCTGTTTATTTGTGGCTTTGGCTTTTTGAGACAAGACCTTACTGTGTAGCCCAGGCTGGCCTAAACTCCCTGCGATCCTCCTGCCTCACCACCACGCCCCGGCTGGGTCTGCATCTCTGTCACCCAGCACAAGCCGGCCGTGGTGAATGCTTGGGCCACCTGACTGGATTCACTGTAGGGACAGAGGGTCAGAGGTCGTTCCCTCCTTCTTTAAATGTTTTTAATTAGTATGTGTTTGCAGTACTTGCAGTCCACAAACATCTTGGGAGTGGGAGACCGCACATGACACAGCTCGATTCTTTACATAATCCTCTCCCCTCCCCGTTCCTCCTCCTCCACTTCCACTTCCCCCATTTTTATTCTTGTTGATAGGATTGAACTTAGCTCTCACAGCAGAAAGAATGGCTGTCATCAAAAAATCAACCAATAACAAATGTTGGAGGGGCTGGGAAGAAAAGGAGCCCCTCTCCACTGTTGCTGGGATGCAGACAGGTGCAACCACTGTGGAAATCAATGTGGAGCATCCTCACAAAAATGGGACTAGAGGACCCTTCCACCCAGCTATTCCCCTTCTGAGTATTTTCCCAGAAGAATTAAAAACATCATACTACAGTGAAATATGCACACCCATGTTTATAGCAGCACAATTGTATAATGGCTAAATCTTGGAAACAACCCAGAAGTCCAACAACTGAAGAAAAGATAAATAAGATGTGGTATTTTTATATAATGGACTACTACTCAGCCATAAAGAAGGATAAACTTGAGACTTCTATAGGTAAACGCATGCAACTCAAGACCATACTCATAAGTGAAATTAACCAGGCCAACATGTGTAGACATCATATTGTCTCACTAGTGTGAAAAATGAACAAGTAAATAGGGTGTAAATGTACAATGGATATTGTAAATTGGGAAGAAACTGTTCAAAAGAAAACACAAACTGTGATGGGGAAAGGGAAAAGGAGAAAATACACAAGATGGATGAGATGGCTATACAGCTGACTCCTTTTAGTTCCTTGAAAGGAGTCTCGGGGGCCAAGGATTTAGCTCAGCGGCATAAGCTCCTGCCTGGCAAGCACAAGATCATAAGTTCGATCCCTGGTACTAAAAAAATAAAATAAAAAAGGAGTGTCTTGTGCTAATACTGTTAGACACGGTATCATGCCTGTATCTCATGCTCTGCACAACTACAAAGATAATACATGAGGTATCGACTACTGCAACGCTCAACTGACCTGTTCTGAAACTCAGTTTCACTGCTATGTGTATCCTGCTTTTTTTCTCTTTACCTCTTAAAATCAAATAAATAAACTTAGATCTTGTTTGTGACGTACCATGTTTACAGTCACTCAGGTTGTCAGATTTCTGTGTGTGACGTAGCTTTGTGCGGCTCCCCTGCCCGTGGCTGTTCTCACACCGGGACCGCCCTCCCTCCCTCCTCCTCGCCTCCCTCCCAAGTCCTCCTCCACCTCCCACTCTGACCTCAGCTCGCAGCTCTGCACGCCCCCGTGTCCAGCATCCGCTGGCCCCTTCGGCCTGTATGAGCCAGCTGCCCCTCACCACAACACCTCAAATGCTTCTGCTCCCAGCGCTCCCCTGCAATGCAGCCGCCCTCAGGAGCCAGGATGTGGGGAGAAGGGCAGCCCTCTGTGGCCCCAACTGTTGCACACGGCCCCCAGTGGCCCACAGCTCCTAGGGGTCCCCGCATCTCAAAGCTGCTGCCCCCCACGTGCTCTGTCTCCCACGTTAGGTGGTGTCAGGGCCGCTGACACCAACCCACCACTGCCAGCCCTGCCAGGTTTGTCCGGCACACCTGCAGCTATCTTCCAAGGGCCAGCAGCCCTGGTCCTGCTGTCCACTGCTCAGAGGCTTGCAAAGGCCACACCTTCTCCACATCCCAGGCTGGCACCCCGGCCACCGCTCTCCCAAGATGGCCGGCTCTACCCACTCTGCTCCTTCACACCCTGGGCCACCCCTGGCTGCTTACCTCCTCACTGCCTGGCAAGTGCATGTCTACTGTTCCTATTTAGTTTAGTATTATTGATTTTTATGACACATAATCATTGTACATATGCATGAAGTAAGATATGATGATCTCATATATATGCATGATATATAAACATATAAATATATATGTTGGACCACCCACTGGGGGCCCCTCCTATCTCTCAGGAGCTACTCCTCTTCTCCATTTCTTTCCAGTAAATTTTCCTACTCTTAACCTCTATTGTTCCTTAGAATTAATTCTTCAACTTCTGGAGACACGAACTGATGTATTTGACAAAGTCCCTCCGAGCCTCAGAGAAGGAGAGACTGCCAAACTCCAAGTGATCGTGCAGATGGAACCAGCAACAAATGTGCCAGGCTCCTCCTCCAGGATCCAGCGGATTGACCTTGTACAGAGTTCCTCGCTGCTGAACCTAGCACGACTTCTGTCTGAGGCCCTCAGATCAGCCGTTTCCCCTGCGCTGGCTTCTCAGCTCGAAGCAGCTAGATGGAAGCGAGGTTCCTTCTCCCCTGCCCGTGGTCAGGGGCACCCCTCAGAGTGGGGAGTATTATAGACAGCTAAGTTAGGGAGGCAGGCAGACACGGCTGGACCCCGAGGGGTCAGGGAGGGCGGTGAGCCTGCACCAGGACTGTGGCTGGGGTGCATCTGAAGATTAAAGTCACAATGGCCAGATTTAGGGACTTCCCTAAGGGATGAGGAGGCTGGGGTGATTGGTGTCACCCTTTTAAGATTTCTCATTATCCCACTAGGGGCCAGCCTCTGCCACTTGGACTAAGACTGCTAAGACTAAAGACAAGGCCAAGACTTCAGATACTGATCAAGGCTAACGATGCCACCCACGTGCCCTCACTACCATTAGCAACCATACTTGTAATCTCATTGGTTGATCATAATTTTGACCCACATGGTACCTGCCTCAGAATTTTGTTCTGTAAAACTTCCTCTGAGAGGTGGGCAACCCATCTGGGACCCCTCTCATCCCTCAGAAATTCTTCTTGTCCCCCCTCCCCCATTCCTGCACCCCATTCCTTTTCTCCAATAAATTTTCCCTTCTGCTAATAAATGTTATACCAAAAAAAAGTCGTTTTGTTTTAGTTTGTTTGTTTGGCTTTTGAGACTGGGTCTCTCTGCTGCCCAAGATGGTCTCAAACTCCTAGGCTCAAGCAATCCTGCCTCAGCCTTCCAAGTAGCTGGGACTCATGTGTGTGTCACTTCAACTGGCTTATACTTATTTCTTTGTGGCACAAGTATTCAAACGCCTCTCCCAGCTATATGCACGTACAGTGGTACCTCGGTTCATGAGCCTGATTCTGCCCACAGCTCTGGAAAAGAGGCCTCCTCCTTCGGCTCACGCGGGAAAGATGGCAGCAGCTGCTCATCATCCAGGGCAGAGTTTGCAAACAAAAACAAAATTCTACCAAATGCTTCTACACGCAAATCAAATTGTTTGCAAACAAAAGCTTTTGTGAACCGAGGTGCTGCCGTGTATGTCACTGCTACCGAGTAGCCCTACTGTGCGACCATCACTTATCCCTCCAGCTCCTCAGACCTGTGGAGCCACAGGCCAGCGGCTTGCCCTGTCTTTGGTCCTCCCTTCCCAGTCACTGGCCACTACGTCCTGTTCCCCTCTCCATCACACGGTCACATTCTAGGTTCACAAGTGAGGGAGGAGCGTCTGTCTTTCGGGGTCTGCCTCCTCTCACACCACACAATGTCCTCCAGTTTTGTCCAGTTGGAAACCGACAAGATCCCGTCCTCGCCCGGCCGCCGTGCTCCCCTGTGGTCTCACGCCACGGTTTCCTCGCCCGCTCATCCCTGCCGCGCACCCAGCTGCGGCAGACCTCGGCTACTGCCAACGCTGCTGCGGTGACGTGAGCGCACAGATGTCTCTGAGGGACCCATTTCACTTCCTCTGCATACACACCCAGCAGTGGGGTTGCTGGCTCGTTCCGAAATTCTATTTTTAGTTTTTAAAGGAACTTCTACACTGTTTTCCGTAATAGCTGCACTAATTTACATTCCCACCCGTAGTGTTAGAGTTCCCCCTTCTCCATAGTCTTGCAAGCACTTGTAATTTCTTGTCAATGTTTAATATTTTGAGGAACTGCTGGACTGGATTTTGAAACTGCTGGTTTCCAAATCACTGTACTATTTTATATTCCCAGCGGTGTTTTCAGCTTCTCTACAATCTTGCTGACACTTGTTGTTATCTGAGTCATGTCAGTCTCATTGTTGCTCTGACTTACATTTCCATAGTGACTAATGATGTTGTTAAACATCTCTTTAGGGGCTTATGAGCCATCCCACAGATTTTCTTTTAAAAAAATTTCTGTTCTGATTATTTTCCCATTATTTAATTGGGTTATAAGTCCTGTATCACACAAAATACTTTTTACTTTTTGCTGGTGTTGTGTGCAACACAAATGTTACTTTTAGCCAAGTGTGGGGGCACATACCTGTAGTCCAGCTACTTGGAAGGATGAGGCATGGGGATTGCTGGAATTCATGCGTTTGGGATCAGCCTGAACAGCAGAGCAAAACCCTGTCTCAAAAAAAGAGATCTTTTTAAAATTTTTGGCAAAATCCTATGAACCTACTTTTTTCTGTTTGTTTACACAGTATGTACATGTGCAAACAGACATGCATCACACATGCACATGCGAGAATGTTTTCTGGACTTGCTGTGCTTTGGGTATCAATCTGTTTGAGACGCTACTGAAAGAGTGCTGCCCTAGAATAAATTCCTGCACCGTGATGGCGGTGGGCTGACGTGGAGGAGGCCAAAGCGGGACGCCTGCTTCCTGCTGCTCCCTCGGCCCTAACTGCAACTCCCCTTCCTGTCTGCACACAGAATCCCAACCGGCTCCTCAGACAGCATGAATATCCACTGCAGTCCGAGGTCACATCACCCTCTGCCTCTCTGTCCAGGAGAAGGAGACAGCGCAGCGCCGTGGGCTGTGTGCTCCCGTCCACGTCCTCAACTCACGGAAGCTGTTCGTTTTATACTTTGCTTCTCTCTTGCGCCAGGGGACTCTAACATTATGGAGCCTTGAGACTCGGATAGCAGAGCACCAGCTCCTGGAGTCACTCCCAGGTTAGCCCCCTGCCTATGAACCACCTATTTTTTCCTCTGGGACTGTTTACTTGCCACCACTAATCCACATGCAACAGCGACCTTCCTCACTCATCACAGGTGAGCCGCCATCTGGGCTTTTCTGTTTCCATTCCTAAAATTCGCAAGCTTGCATCAGAAAACCTACCTGTTGCTGTCCTTGGACAGAGATAGCAGTTTTCAGGCTCCTTAGGCCGCACAGCCTGAGCCAAAACTGTTATTTTTTTGTTCCCTGGGACCCTGCCCCATACTCTTTGGTGACTGCAGGGATGAAATGTGTTGGGACCTTCGTGTCACACTTTCAAAACTGGTGACGACCTCTTTTGATAGCTGTGACCCAGGACAGCTTCCGCGTTCCCTGGGGGGAGCTAAAGCTCTTACGTCCCGAGGCAAAGTTGATCTCTCAGCTCTCTTATAATTCGGTCATGGGGACCACTTCCTGTCCCTCCTCCACGAAACAAAAACACACTTCTTAAATGCCTGGCTCATAACCTTAGTGCCCTTGGCCTTGAGAACACTACAAAAACCAAAAAGCAGATCTTTTATTTATACTTTTGTCACGATGGCGGCAAGTTGGCAGAAACCCTTCGTTTTTAGGCCTTTTTCACTTGGAGGCCATGTCTTCTCCCACTCTGTCTTGTATAATGGCCCGAATACTCTTGGCTCGCTCTGCTCCAGCAGGATCTCTCACTCCTCCCCACCCTCCCCTTAGACGGCTCCTGTCTTTACGGCTCCTCCCCTCCATCTCCAAGACCAAATCCCACAGCTTTCTCGGCCATAGTCTCTGTGCCTCTCCCCTTCCTCACCCCTGCTGGCTCTAATCCTCCCCTTAGGCTTTCTCCCCAGTCTCAAGTTTCTCAGTCCCCCCACCTGAGCCATCTATTCTGTTGTCCCCTGCTCCTGTGTCACCATTTCCTCTGCTGGCTCCCCATCCTGGGTCCTGAGTCTTTCAGCCACCTAACAGGCCACTTGGTATTTGACCACCATCTTGCGATCCCACACCACATGGTCTTCAGCAGCCATCTAGTTGCGGGTCTCACGGTAATCAGTCGCCATCTGTGCTTCCCTGTCTCATGGTGGCCGATCGCCCAGTAATTGCACACGGACGCCTGCTGGGCAGTTGGGCACTCAGTGGCCATCCACCCTCCCTATTCCTGCTTTGGAAACAGGCTGGTCCTGAGGACCAGTTCATACTCATGTTCTTTTTTCCCCTCACCAACCTATCTCAGAATAACCATAAATTAGGTTCCTTTCTGCTATTCTTATTTTAAGAGATCTCTATTAATTAATCATTAAAAAGATTCAAACTAGTCTATTTATTATAGTTCAAATTGGCTAAATATATTTGAGTGCACTCTGATTTTGTAGGATGCTTGTCCGTCTATATATCTGTTGTCTGTCTGTCCAGTCTGTTTATACTGTACAGACGTTTATCCATTTGCATGCTCTGTAAACAGCTGTTCCTTTTTATTTGAGCTCAATGATCTTTTTTCCTCCTCTTTCACATTTTAGATCATTTAATCAAGGTTTATTTGGGTTACAGATTTATAAAGCATGCTTCCACCTAGGTTGCCAGCTGGTCAAAATGATGCTAAAACTGGTTAAACAAAATCCCTTGAGGTGAGGAGACATTGGACAGGACTTCAATTGATGAATAAGAAATTGGCCAGCTGGTAACTTTAACCAGCTCTTATTTATTAATTGGAGGCCCCAATAATCTCCATAGCCTTATGGGAGACACCCCAACTAAACTTCAGATGACTAAGACAATTCACTGTTGCTGATATGATGGTATATTCATGCCTTCAAATGTAAAATTGGGATTGTTTATGATGACAAGTATTTTCTTTCAAATCCAGACATCTGCTTTCTCTTGTGCTCCAGCCAAAAAATCCAAGTCAAACCAACAGGAGGTCACCAGTCAAATAATTTTTAAACAAAAATTTATGTAATTTATACATTATACTTAGACATGCTTAAATAGTGAGCAGTCCAAACAATGTCACAAATTTCTTCAGTGCTCAAATGTTAAAACACCCATGGTTAATAGAAAACAATAGTTCCATTTAATGTTCTGTGCTAAGCTTACTGAATTTACTACACAGCACTGTTATCAATCTTTTCTTCTGGATGTTCAACAACTAAAAGTAAGAGATAATTATAAATTCCTTTTAGATGCCTTTTATTGGGATCCACCAGATCTTTTCCAGAAAAAGGTTGCATATTGGGGCCATCGTTAACTATACTCAGTTGGCCTTAAATGACACTGTAGCTCAACTCTCTCCTAAATAAAAAAGGTAAAATTAATAAAATAGGCCATCCTCCAAAATCAGATGGCAGTAGACATTCTAACAGCACAGGAGGTACTTATACAACTGTAAAATCTAACTGTGTATATAACAAATGAATGACATGTCAGTTTCTAAAATTCTCTGGACCTTATCCTTATCCTCCTTATGGGAAGCCATTACTAAAATCATAAATATCCTGTTGGTTCTATTATTTGACTCCTGCATACTTTATTGATTCTTTGCCTTTGTCTCCTTTAGACTTAAAGCTGTTCACCTACCCAAGATGAAAATGCCTGGTATCTACTGAGGGTTACTAGTTAAAAGCTCTGCAGAGTATCCCTGACTGCCATTCAACAACTTCAACCCCCTTCAGCCAGAAGAAGCCAGATTGGTCACCGCCTATATCCCTCATGGCAGTTTGGGTTACTTCTTCAGAGAAAAATGCTACAGGCAGCTAAGTTAATTAAAAATATTATAAGCAGTCACACAGGGATAGGGCCTCAGAACAGCCAGCAGAGAGAACCAGATGTCTTGTGGCTGTGGAGGAGACGGCTACCTTCCACTGTGGGCCAGATCCCAAGACAAAAGGCTAAATTTGGCCCACAAACTCCACAGGAAGACCTCCTTAATGTGGCTTTCGTGTTTTCAACAACAGAAATAAAAATCAAAAAGAAAAAAATAACAACCTGATTTTTTAGCAGTGACACTTCGAGCTCTGAGACAAGTAAATGGACACAAGGCAGAGCTGCCCGAGCCCCTCTGGACCATGCTTCAAGTGCAACTAAAAGGACACTGGGCAAGAGGATGCCCCCTCTGCAATCTCAGTGGCCACTGGGAGAGTGACTGTCCCAGCCGCCAGAGAGCAGGTAAGCCATCCTCTAACTCCTGCCCTCACAGGAGATCTCGTCACCACTGGATTCATCGCTGGCTCATCTGCTTGGACTTGCTGCTGAAGACTGACGGGGCTCAGGGCCCACAGCCCCCCATTAAGGTGTCCTTCTCAGAGCCCCAAGTCCCACTGGAGGTCTCTGCACTTGTAGACATGGAGGCCATATAGTGTTCTTCCTGAGTTTTCAGGCCATTGTATTAAGTCCTTCGTCTCCATTGCGGATGTTGACGACCAACCTACACAGCCTCCACAGACAGGGCCTATTCCATGCAGGTTCCAGACTCTTTTCTTTACTCATGGCTTCCTAGTAATTCCAACATGTCCCACACCCCTTTTGGTAGGGATCTTCTTCAAAAGCTTAACTTCTCCTTTACCTTCTCCCTCCCCCACAGCTCTAGGCCTCCAAACACCCTCACAGTGACCACAAAGCCATCCCCTCCTCTCCCTTCTTCTCTGGTTGATCCTAGTTTGGGATACATCCAACCCCACACACACTACCCATTCCATGCCTATTTTAATTCGCCTCAGGGATCCTTCAATTTTTCTTTGCATTCCCCAATATCCTATAGCTCCCAAACATTTACAGGGACTTAACCCTATGATCAAGCATCTTTTAGACAATGATTTTCTTAAACTTACCCATTCGCCCTACAATACTCCCATTCTCCTGGTACTCAAGCCTACTGGGCCCTATAGTCTGATACAAGACCTTAGGGTAATCAGTGATGCTGTTACCCGAATTCACCCCATGGTGCCAAACCCTTGTGCTATGTTCTCTCACATCCCTCCCTCCACCACTCACTTCATAGTCCTAGACCTTGAAAATGCCCTTTTATACCATCCCCTACACCCTGGTTGTCAGGATTCCTTTGTGTTTACATAGACTGACCCAGACACTCTCAGGTCTCAACAACTTACACCTGTCATGTCTGTATTAGCCCCTCTCCTCAGGGACACATAATACCCCCTTCCTTTCCTATTCATCAATTTCATGGACACACCCCTGGTCAGGACTCACAGGTAGATTTATACACATGCCCCACCACAAAACTCTCAAATATCTTTTCACCTTTGTTTGTACTCTTTCAGGATGGATAGAAGCCTTTCCCACAACCAGGGAGACTGCTGATATATTTACTAAAGTCCTGTTATAGGAAATCATCCCAAGGTTTGGTCTACCTCACTGTATTCAGTCAGATAATAGTTCACCCTTTATTTCTCAGATTTCTCAACAGGACTAGAACTAAAATGGAGTGGCCCCTACCTGGTCTTCCTCAGAACTTCAACAGTGGTCAAGGTCACTGGACTGCCATCGTGGTTCCACATCGCTCAAGCTAAGCGGTGCCCTCCAAATCTTAACTCCATGACTCTAAACATCTTGAATGGTCATCTCATCGCCTATCTCCTGTCTCCATCTCACCAAGGCCCCACAGCCACAATTTTCAGACTAGGTCATGTTTGTTATCCTATTTGGTTCCTGATTCCTTACATTCCATTAGTTAATTTTTTCACTATAACTATCTTAGTTCTCTCCACCTTCAGCTGTTTAAACATGAAACTCCTATAGATCTAAGATCTCATGTCAATTATAGTGACACAGCCACAGCCCTCCCCACCCCTATGCTGTAATTTCTCACACATGATTCAACTTGTCAGGCCTTGTATTTCTCATGCTTCTTATTCTTTTCAGCTCAACTCCTAGACCAAAGACAAGTCCTACCTGCACTTTTTAACTTTGACCCTTTCAGATGGGGGAATAATTACCTCCTGTAGCTCCACCCCTCCCAACTCCATGCTTATTTTTCAGATTCTTCTCACCATGGCCCTGATGGAACAACACATTTGGATGAAGGGCACTTTTCCTTCTACCTTTCCTGGATCCTTTAATTATGATAGCAATCTATCTCCTCATAGGACCTTATGTTTTTATTTCTCCCATCTAGGATGCAAGCATTCACCAATGATTAATTCCTTGTCCTAGCTGAAACACCTGGTACCAGCTTCTACAGGGGCATCAACCATCATCTCGTCAACCTTTCTACACCCCAATACAATGCCCCTTTCAGCAGGAAGTAGTAAGAGAGAAACTTCACCCTTTTCCTAACAATACAAAGATGGGAATGAAAGAGTTTTGTCCTAGTATAAATTACTATACAGTTATGGCGGTGGTCTAACATGGGGGAAGACCAAAGCAGGAACACCTACCACTTCCTGCTTCCTCTTCAGCCCTAACTGCAACTCCCCTTCCTGTTTGCATGCACAGAGAATTCCAATGGGTTCCTCATATATCATCAATATCCACCCCACACACCACTTTAGTCAGAGGTCATATAACTCTCTGGCTCTCTGTATCTGGTTGAAGGAGACAGCCCAGCTGCCATGGGTTGTGTGCTCCTTTCCATGTCCTCAACTCAATAACCTGTTCATTTTGTACTTTTGCTTTTCTATTGTGCCAGAATACACTAACAGCTACAAGTCTTAAATCTATCCAGATTTTTTATTTCTTCTTGGGTCAATTTCACTACTTTGTTTCTTAGTTACTCTCTTATGGCTGAGACACAATATGGAGTACACTCACAAAGCAGAAGAGGAGGGGTTTATTCAAGCTCACAGTTTGTAGAAGTTTTAGTCCACAAAAGGCTGGCTCCGAAGCAGGGCAGCACGGCAGTGGAGCCTGGCAGAGGAGATAAAGCTCAGGTGATGGTCAGGAAGAAGAGGCAGATCAAGGGAGGGGGAAGGACACAGACTTCCCCAGACCATCTCTCCTCCCTCCCATGGCCCACCTCCTCCAACTGGGCTTCACCTCCCAACATCACAGTCAGCTATGAACTCATTTATGGGCTAACTAATGGGTTCCACCAAAGTGAAGCTTTGCCAAGCTCAGCGTGGGGCCTGCCCAACACTACACTGGGCCCTAGAGTGACAGCGTGTACCCACAAAACTACTTCCCCATTCTTCCAAGCCAAGCCTGCTCTTCGCATGCGCCAGCATTCACCCAATCAACTGCCAACACGTCATTATGCCCGCCCTCTAACCCGCCCCTTCAAGCTGAAAAAATCCGCAGTTTGTCTACCTCAGAAGAGTCTTGCACTGTTCTGCACAGTGCCTTTCTAGAGCCACTCTGCTTTTCTAGGGGCACCTGGCATGCGTGATTTCACAGATAAGGCTTGAAAGGCAAAACCACTGGGCTTCTCGCCCATCAGGCTTCCGGGGATCCCATGGCTCCTCAGCCAGCGCTAGAGAGGCACGGCCAGTGCTGCTGCGAGCTGGCAGCCTTGTTTCCTGGACATGCGTGCTGGCTGGGGACTCGGGCCATAGCAGGCCCCCGAGCCCGCAGTTGGGCCTCCCTGGGGCCTCTGCCTCCTTGGCCCTGCTCCCGGTCTAGTCTGCCCTGGTAGGCGCCGCCTCAGGTAGGGTGCGTGCACGCGGCAACCGGAAGTGACGCAGTGGGAGGGTGCGCGCGTCCTCCCGCCCACCCTGGTAACCGGAAGGGCGACCCCAGAGGGGACCTGGGGCGGGGGACCCGGGAGCAGTCGCCCGTCTCGGATCGCACGACGCCACGCTTCCGGGGGACGAGGGCTGTGCCCTGGGCAGCCATGGTGTCCTCGCAGCACCGCTGATGCAGGGCCCGGCGCAGGGCTGAGGCAGGTGTGAGGAGGAGGAGGCGCAGGGACTGACCACGCGGTGTTTCAGACAGGCGCTACAGTTCCAAGAATATGTTTTCTAAAAGAGTTCCCAAGAGTTTGACTCCAAAACCAATGCAATAAATGACTTTCTGTGGTGAAAAGAAAGGAAAGTTAAAACCAGTTCCCACGCACGGCGCCCGCGGGCCCCTGGACACTGTTATCAGTCATCTGAGTCCGTAACCAGCACCGAGGCCCAACAAAGCACTGCGGGCTGTTCCGTGGGGCTGCGGAGGTTTTATGGGATCCCTTTGCTAATTAAAATTCACTCTTCCAGACGGCTGTGATCTTTAGTGTCTGATGCACCTGAAAAATATCTCTTGACATTTAAGCCATGCTCGCTGGGACGGTACCAGAAGCAGTAATAAGCCACAAATTCCACTCAAAATGAAAATGCTAAATTTTGTGTTTGGGGCTTGATTTGAAGGGCAAGGATACTCAAATCCCTAAGGTTTCTCATTAATCCAGTAACACCCAAAGAGAGCGTCCCTCTCCCTGTCCTTGGGATGACACAGCCATCTACCCAAGGCACTGCCAGTCCTGAAACTTGAAGCTGCCATATGACAAGTCACGTTTTTACTCTGCACAATTCAAGATGCTGTCGTGGCAGGCTGGCACCTGGATGGCTCATAGTTGGAGAAGGAGCAGGACCATGCAAGGTCAGCAGGCTGAAGGGCAGCGCCTCCAGCCGTGCTGCAGCTCAGCCCGGGGCTCACAGAGGCACTCAGCAGCCACCTTGGCCCAGAGTTCCTGGTCCCTAAAGAGAATGTGCAAGCCTGGGGGAAACAACACGTCTCCTTGTTGCTAGATCAGCAAGCTTCCATGTGTTGCCCTGGCATTTCAGCTGCCCACACAGGATGTTCTCGGGACATCCTCTGGCACCCAGCAGAGAGCCCCACAGCAGAGTGGGAATGCTTTGTGCACCTGATAACGCCCCTCCACTTATGGAGACCCAAGCCATGCACTCCTGACCAAGCTGACTTTCAAGGTGTCTAACGTGAAGGCCCCCAACCTCCTCCCTTTCCTTAGCTTTGCAGGAGCAGCTGTCACACCAACTACCCGTTCCCAAATGCCATAGTTTGTCCTCCCCAAACCAATGCTAGGGCTTAATTCCTCAAGACAGCCACATCGGGAGGCAGCATCTGGGGCGAGGTCTTCAGGCCACGGTGGCAGAGCCCTCATGGATGGATCAGTGTGTTTCTCGCAGGAATGGGCCAGCTACAGAGGCAGTTCAGCCCTTCTCTCTCTCCCACACATGCTCATTTGTCCTTCTGCTTCCTCGTGAGTTCATCGAAGCTGTTGGAGGTGAACAGAAACTGAAAAGACACAAGTGCCTTCTACCTCCAGAACCATGGACCCAAATAAACCTTTTTTCTGTAGAAATTACCCTTTCCCCAGTGTTCCATTATAACAACAGAAATGGACAAAGACATCAACCTCTGCTGATGGCATCACCTTGGTGGTGGCAAACCGTTCAGAGCTTCCAATGGTACAAACAGCCCACTGCATCATGTGTGCCATGGGTTCATTGCCACTGCCCCAAACCCAGCACCCGTTGGGGAATCTCCTCCTGCTGTACCCGCCAACCGAGGGAGACCAGCCAGCTCCTCCCTGGGGCACACCCGCCACCACCCTTGAGCAGGCGGCCCTGACAGACCACACTGTCTCCGCGGGGAGCAGAGGAGGAGCAGTCCACTCACAGTGGTGAGGTGGGGGCAGGAAGGCAAGAGAACACATCCCCAGTGGTCTGGAAAACCACCATGGAGCTCCCTGTCGCACCAAGCCCAAAGCCATGGGTGCCGTGGGGAGGGGCAGCCACAGAGCAGAGGGGATCTTCCCAGAAGGTCGGGAATCGGGTCAAGGAAACACAGGCTTTATTCCTATTGCTTCTGCTGGGAGGCTGCCAGAGAGCAAAAATCTTGCAGGAGAAAGGGTCAGAGGTCAAAGGGCAGAGCAAGGGCTGGCCCACCAAGGGGGCAGGAGGCAACGGCAAAGGAGAGAGATGCTCCGAGAATCCGGCACGCGGAGACAGGTGGCAACCCATCAGCCCCAGCTTCTCCAACTCGGTGCCACCCGGAGTCTGCTCTGTCACCTGCCCTCTTGTTCTGTTACCTGGCTTGGGCTGCCATAACTGAATCCCACAGACCCGTGGCTGGTGGATCACAGACGTGCAGGCTGAGAAGTCCAGAGTCAAGATTCTCTTTCTCACCCACAGCAGGTGCCATCTGGGGTATCCACACATGGCGAGTGACTGAAAGGGCTGCCCCCTGGGCCTGTTAGTAAAAGCAGTAGTCCCATCTGTGCAGGCTCTGTGGTCACCCCCAAGTCACCTCCTAAACAGCCACCCAACCTGTCATGTTGGTAACTAGGCTTCAACAGGTGAGTTTAGGGACACCAGATCACACCAGTGTTACCTGTCTGTAAACTAAAACTCGTCTGAGGAATATGTGCAGAAGCTCGAGGTGGGAGCATCTCAAGCTGGATGCTAGCGCCCGCCACCGCCCTCCCCTCCCCAAGTGTAGCCGCTGCTCACTCGATAGGTGCCTGGGGCCTGATGTGGCCAGCCTCCCTCAGGGGAGGCAGAACAAAGTGGCCCAATCGGGCGGTCCCTGCTGGGGAGAGTCCTGCACCATCCATGTACATCACAGCCCCCAACCCTCAGTTTGCTCTCTGCAAAGTTACCTGCTGTCAGCTGGAGCTGAAAAATATTATTTCCCTCAACTCTTTTTTTTTTAAATACAGGGAGTTGAATTCGGGGCGTCCCATGTGCCAGTGCTCTACCTCTGAGCTACATCCCTGGCCGTTTTCATTTTATTTTGAGACAGGCTTTCATGAAGTTGCCCAGGCTGGCCTTGAACTTGTGATCCTCCAGCCTTAGCTTCCCCAGTAGTTGGAATTACAAGTGTATGCCACCATGCCTGGATTGTCCTAATCCAAGAGAAAGACCACATGCACATAATTTTTATTACTGTACATTGTTCTAATTGTTACATTTATTAGTAGTAATTACTATGCCCAATTTATAAATTGGTGTAGGTGTGCACATACAGGGAAAAACATAGTCTATGTGGAGGTCAGTTCTAGTCCCAGCTTCGGGCATCGCTGGGGGTCTCAGAGCGCATCCTTCTCACATGCAGAGGGCACCTGTAACATTCTCCCTTCCTGTATTTTTATTAGTGCACGTTTGCAGCACATAATGACCACACTCATCGTGGGGAGATGGTGTGTGCACTTGGCACATTTTCTTTCTTCGCCCCCGTCCCTGTCTTCCCCTCTCCCTCCATCTCCAGGTCCCCTTCCCTTTTGCAAAAAAGCACCACGACACTATTCTGAGCGACTGGAGGCTGATGAGGGGCAACCATGACAGAAGCCACAGCACAGGTCTAAGATGCCAACCCCGGCCCCATCTTTCCCTGCCTCCAGCTGCCAGCCTCCCGGACTCAAGGAGGGTGAAACAGTGGCCTTAGAAATCCCTTGCAAAATATTTGCAGGCGTTGTGTTAGGCATCCCATTTCATTTTTTCCAGTGTTTTCTTTGGAACGAAGAAAGGCAATTGATTTTTATTTATTGATCATGTATCAAGCAACTTGCTAAACTACCTTATTAATTCTACTTAGCTGTGAACTTGGGAATGCTCTGTTTACACAGTCATATCACTAGGCAGCAATTACCTCTTGGCGTCATTTTATCAATCATTATGCAGCAGATTCCCGTTCCTTCTTTGTCAGCACTGTCCAGACCTCCCCGCTCCAGGATAATATCGAATGGAAGGGCACCTGGACATCCAGTCACAACCCCAGCTGGCTAAGGACTACTTCTGGCATTTCACCGCAAGTGTAATGTTTGCAATACATTGTTAGGGTGCATTCTCTTGTATTCTTAATTCTCTGAAAATCTGGTTGCTTATTATAAAGAGCATGAGTCAGCTTTTGAATTTTATGAGTTACTCCTCTGCATCTATTGAGGCTATCATCTGCTGTTTTCTCCCTCTATTATTAACATGGTGTCTTGGTCCATCTTCCGTCACAACAGGCGAATCCCTGAGGCTGGTATTTTATAAAGAAAAGAGGTTTATCCTGGCTCACAGCTCTGGAAGTGCAAGGGCACAGCGGCAGCATCGGTCTGATGAGGGCTGCAAGACTGCAAGCTAAGGGGCAAGCAGGGAGGCGGGGAGAAGAGCCACGTGGCAGAAGAGAAGCAGGAGAAACCCAAGGAGGCTGAACTCGCCTTACAGCGCCCCTCGGAGTGAGACTCACCCGCCGAGGACAGCGAAGGACCACGTGGGCTCCGCTCTCTCACCTGACAGCCCTTAAAGCATGTTCCGGGGACAATCAATGTTCAACATGAGTTTCGGTCGAACTGCAGCAGGCACAGAGCTCACTGCAGACTCTTCAGTGGGAAACCCCCGTGTGCCTCTAGGCTGCCACCGTGCTGGACGCTGGGGTCTGGCTTGGCTCTCAGAGGCTCAGTCCCCAGCCGTGGCACCACCGGACGGAGATGGAAACTTAAAGCCGTGGGGCGAGCTGGAGAGAGCAGGCCGCGGGATGCACCCTGGAAGAAGGTGTTTCTTCTCCAGCCTCTCCTGCCGGCTCACTCTCTCCTCCCTGGTCACCATACACAGCCGCATCCATCGCACACTCCCTACCGTGATGGACTGCCTCCCTTCAGGCCCAGAAGCAAGGGCCAGGTGACCATGGACTGATACTGTGAGCCA